GCACTGTGGCACCTAAGGGGTTAATCCTCTGCATTGTGTAAAAGATATTTGATCCTTTGGGGGGTAAGCTGCACATGCTCAGTTTGGTGTGTATTGCTAGATGTGGTGTTTTTTTTTGTTTTGTTTTGTTTTTTGTCTTGGGAGAGTGCATGTGATCAGCACAGGACCAATCAGTGCTGTCCAGAAAAAGGGTCAGGGGTTATGCAGCTTTATAGGACAATCAAGGGAGGATGGAAACTCCTACAAGCTTTAACCAGTGCTGTGATGGACACTGATAGAAATCTCAAGACTGCGCTAACTGAAGATGAGAAAAGGTATTTAGCAGTTTATATTTTCTAAAATAATTCCATTTCCATATTCTGTGTCCTGTGGGAGACCAGTGAGTGCAGGGTCCTTGGTTTAGTAACATTTTAAATCATCCTGGCTTGACCAGTCAAGATAGCCAAAGATCAAGAAGCCAGATGAATAATGATTCTAAATCTTCTTTTTTTTTTTTTTTTTTTTCTATTGCTTGAATTGCTGCTTTGCCATTGCAGGCATTTGACTTGTGTCATGTTTTGGTCACCACACAGGAAGTGAGGGGAAATCTCCCCAACAGGGACACCGCTATTAAATCTGACAGATTCTAAGCTTTGCTCACTCTGTTGTAAGCTAAAGAAGAACTGTTTCGGCTAAAGTTCCATTTTAGTTGAACTAATGTTTTCATTGAATGTTATTGTTGTAGATATATTCAATATGCTGTCACAATTTCACATTACCGTATTTTCCGGCGTATAAGACGACTTTTCAACCCATTAAAATCTTCTGAAAAGTCGGGGGTCGTCTTATACGCCGGTATACGGCGAGCCGACGATGGGGCACTATTCCTCCTCCACACTGACACCAATGATAACGGGCACTGTTCCTCTCTCCACTGACACCAACGATGGGGCCACTTATTCCTCCTCCCCACTGATACCAAGATGTGGGGCACTTATTCCTCCTACCATTGATACTACAATGACGAGTAGGGGCACTATTCCTCCTCCACTGATACACAATGATAAGGGGGCACTTATTCTCCCCCCACTGATACCATTTGATGATGGGCATTATTCGCTCCTCCACCACTGGATACCAATGATGGGGGGCTTTATTCCTCCCCACTGATACCAATGATGGGGCATTATTCCTCCCCCACTGACACCAACGAATGGGGGTGTGGGGGCACTATTCCTACTCCCAACTGACACCAATGATGGGGCACGTATTCCTCCACTGACACCACTGAGGGGCGCTATACCTCCACTGGACACCAACGATGGGTCACTATTGCCTCCCACGGATACAATGATTGGGGCATTATTCCTCCCCAACTGATACAATCGATGGTGGCATTATACCTCCCCCACTGATACCAATTGATGGTCGGCATTATTTCTCCTCCACTGACACCAACGTATGTTGTCTCTAATTCCTCCTCCCCATGTGACACCAACTATTTTGCGCTATTCCTCCACTGCACCCCCCTGACGCGAATGATGGGGCGCTATTCCTCCAATCACACCAATGATTGGGGCGCTGCAATTTCCTCTTTCCTGACCACAATGATGGGGCTCTATTCCTCCCACTGGACACCAATGATGGGGCGCTATTCCTCCCACTGATACCATTGATGGTGGCGCAATTCCACCCAACTTGAGATACCAATCGACTCGGGTGCGCTATTCCTCTCCACTTGATACCAATGATGGGGCGCTATATTCTCCAATGATACACAATGATGGGGCGCTATGTTCCTCCCACTGATACAATGATGGGGCGCTATTCCTCCCACTTGATACCAATGATGGGGCGCTATTCCTCCCAATGAACACCAACGTTGTTGGGCGCAATTTCCTCCCTACTGACACCAATCGAATGGGGCGCTCTATTCCTTCCCACTGACACCTATGGTTATGGGGCGATATTCATCCCACTGGACACCAATGATTGGGGCCGGGGGCTATTCCTCCCACCTGACACCAACGATGGTGGCGCTATTCCTCCCACTGACACCCAATGATGGGGCGCTATTTCCTCCCACTGACCACCAATATGATGGGGCGCTTATTCCTCCCCACTGACACCAACAGATGGGGCGCTATTCCTCCCACTGACACCAAAACGATGGGGCGCTATTCCTCCCATCCGCTGACACCAACAGATTGGGGCGCTATTCCTCCCACTGACACCAATGATGAGGGCACCTCCCACTGACACCAATGATTGGGGCGCTATTCCTCCTCACTGACACCAATTGATGGGGCGCTATTCCTCCGCACTGACACCAATGATTGGGGCGCGATTCCCTCCCCACTGGACACCACAATGATGGGGCGCTATTCCTCCCCACTGGACACCAATGTTGAATGGGGCGCTCATTCCTCCCCACTGACACCCAAACGATGGGCGCTATTCCTCCCGACTGACGCACCATTGATGGGGGCGCCCTATTCCTCCCACTGACACACATCGAACGGATGGGGCGCCTATTCCTCCCACTGAGACACCAACGATGGGGCGCTATATTCCTCCCACTGACACCAACGATGGGGGCGCTATTCCTCCCACTGACACCAATCGATGGGGCGCTATTCCTCCCCACTTGACACCAACTGATGGGGCGCTATTCCTCCCCACTGACACCGTAACTCTGGGGCGGTATTCTCCCACTGACACCAAAACAATGGGGGCGCTTTCCTCCCAACTGACACCAAACGATGGGGCGCTATTCCATCCCTCACTTGACACCAAAACGATGGGGCGCTATTCCTCCCACTGACACCAATGGGGTGCGATGGGGCGCTATTCCTCCCCACTGACACCACAATGATGGGGCGCTAATTCCTCCCACTGACACCAACGATGATCGGGCGGCCTTACGCTATTCCTCCCCTTAGCTGACATCCAACGATGGGGCGCTTATTCCTCCCACTGACACCAACGATGGGGCGCTATTCTCGCCCCACTGACACTAACGATGGGGCGCTTATTTCCTCCCACTGACACCAACGATGGGGCGCTATTCGCTCCCTCTCACTGACACCAACGATTGGGGGCCGCTATCCTCCCACTGACACCAAAGATGGGGCAGCCCTTACCACCCAGCATGACACCACGAATGGGAGCGCCCTTCCTCCCACAGACACCAACGATGTTGGCGACCCTTTACAAAAATAAAAAGAGATCAGATCCTGCCCCACTGACACCTAAAACCGAATGGGAGCGACCCTTCCTCTCCCACTGACACCAAACGATGGTGCCCGCCCCTTCCTCCCGCACTGACACCAACGATGGAGCGCCCTTCCGCCCACATACACCGAACGATTTGCGCTCCCTTAGTCCACCCCACTGCAACTAACTCCGGAACGATGGGCGCCCTTCCTCCCCACGTGACCACCAACGATGGGGCAGCCCTTCCCCCCACTGACACACAAACAAGGAGCGCCCTTCTCCCCCACTGAAAACCAAGGGGGGGCGCTTTTTCTCCCCTGCCACCAACCGAGGGGCGCTATTCCCCCCACTAAACCCCAAGATGGGGCGCAATTTCCCCCCCGGGACCCCAAAAGAGGGGGCGCTATTCCTCCCACTGACCCCAAAGAGGGGGCGCATTCCCCACTGACCCCAAATTTTGGGGGCCAAATCCTCCCCCGACCCCAAGAGAGGCCTATTTCCCCCCTTCCCCCCCCCTGACCCCAAAGAGGGGGGCCTATTCCTGCCACTAAGACCCCCCAAATTTTGGGGAATTTGGGGCGCGTATTTTGCCAGGGGGAAAACCCCAATTTTGGAGGGGGGAAATTTCCTCCCACTGACTAAACCCCAAGGGGAAGGGGGGAATTTCCCTCCCACGGGAAAAAAGGGGGGGCCGCAATTTCTAAACCCCACCTTGGACATTGGGAAAAATGCCCCATCATTTGGTGTCAGTGGAGGAATACCCCCCTCTTTGGGTGTCCAGGGGGAATTTAAAAGGGGGCGCCCCATCTTTGGGGTGTCAGGGGAAAAATAGCGCCCATCTTGTGTCAGTGGGAGGTGGGGCGCCCCATCTTTGGGGTTGTCAGGGGGAAAAATAGCCCCCATCAATGGGGTGGCCCCCAAGTGAGGGGGAAAATAGCGCCCCCTTTTCATTGGTGCCCCATTTGGAGGGGGAAAAAAACCCCCCCAAATAAATTGGGTTTGTCAGTGGGAAATAGGGGCCCCATCATTGGGGGGTCAGGGGGAAAAATAGCGCCCCATCTTTGGGTGTCAGGGGGAAGGAAAATAGCGCCCCACCCTTGGGTTCCCATTTGGAAAAATAGCCCCCAAACATTGGAATCAGGGAGGAATAGCCCCCCATCATTGGGGGGGGAAATAAAAACCCCCCAAAAAGGAAATCCATACCCATATAATAAAACCCAAATCTAGGGTTTTTTATTTTTTTTTGGTGTGCGTTGGAAGGGGGGAAGTCTTAAAAGGCGAGAAATATTTAAACCCAAATTTTAAAACGGGAAAATAGGGGGTCGTCTTAACGCCCGGTCGTCTTTTTAACGCCGGAAAATACGGTACAAAAATTAAATTTTCGTGTTTGGGGTATACGGCAGGTAAAAATTGTTAAAAAAAACAATATGCCCCCGGGGGGGTTTAACACATTATTTTTTGGCATTTTTCCCCCAGTTTTATTTTAGGGGCTGAAAAATGCGGGCCATAGGGGGTCGTTTATGGGGGAAAATTTTCCCTTTCCGCACTATTAAAAGACCCAAGGGCTTTTTAAAACGGCTGGACTTCAGTAGGGCAGAACGGGGAACCTAATGCACCAACCAAAATTTTAAAAAACTGATAAGCTCCCCTAAAAAAAATTTTTTGGGATTTTTTATGCTTTTTTTAATTTCTTCTCAATAAACAGTCTTAAGGTGAAAAAACCTCTTGAAAAAAGCAAGCAATGTAAATGAAAACCCTTACCAAAAGCAATGTGAAAATTTTTTTGTGTTTCCTGCCCCCAAAAGGGTTCATTGCTTTTACCCCTGGCCCCGGGAATCGGATATTTGGGTTTGAAACAATAAAAAATTTTTGCTGAAGGAAACTTTTTGGGGCCCCGGGATTTGCTAGAGTCCAAAAAGGGTGAAAGGAAAAAGGTTTGCGGCCCCCATCCAAAAGTTTTTTTGAGAATTGTAATTAAAGGGGTCTGTCAAAAAAAATACAGCCGGGTTTAGCCCAAAACCCATTCCGGGGGCTTTTGAACTAATTTTTATCCCTCTGAATCCCCTTCCTGAAACAAATCGAAACATTTTGCCTAAAGGAATGGCGCTTTGGGTCCCCCTGATTGCAGGGGGGGTTTTCCTCTTTTTGAAAAGTGTCATTTTAACGTGTGCAAAAGAGTTTGGGATATTGCCCATTTTATAGCTTATGCATCAAGATTTTTTTAGTCCCTTAAACACTGTCAGTACTGTAACACTTCGTAAGATGTTGACCGATCAGCACAGTCAGGGAAAGGATTAACTGTGCGTGTTTCTTCAGTTTGCCCAAGACGCCTTAATTATGCTCCGGTAGTGAAGATACAGTGATCTTTGCAAAGTGTTAGATTTACTGATCTGGCTGATTGTGTGCGCGATCATTTTAGTGATATAATGGAAGAGCATGGATGTATCAAAGAAAGTGGCAAAATGAGGAAGCAGGAAGTATTACATGTTGTGGTAGAGATTGGAAAATTGCCAACATGCATCGGAGCGTGTCCTTTTTTGTTGTCAAGAGTAGAAAAAATGTAAACTGAATGACCAAGGCACTGTATATCATAGAGTGCAGGAGACTTGATTTTTTTTTGGATTTGTATAAAGTGGTCAGCACTGCAGGAATGTCTCCTCAGGTCATCCTTTTTCTCCTGGTAACCAACACAGTTGTGCTAACAGTACATCGATTTACTTTGCATAGTACGCTTTTTTCCCATACCAGTAACTGAATTGTCCCTTGTGATGTGTTTCTAACCAAATTATAGCTTGTTTTTTTTCTGAATAAAGAAATTTTAATGTGCACACATTTGTATTTGAGTCCTAACTTTCGTTTAGGCCTAATATTGTCAATGTAAAGTTATCATTATACAGTACTCGCAGTTAAACTAGCATTGTCATTCATGTTCTAATTGGCTGTCATGTGAATCCAATAGGGAGTCATCTATTTTGTTTTTTTTTTTTTTTTCTTCCGTCTCAAGATCTCAATGATCCCAGTCCTGGTTATAATATTGAGCAAATGGCCAAGAAGTAAGTACTTTCATGCATGTTTCCAAAGCATTGTATTCTACCGTATTTTTTTTAATTATTATTATTAGGGATTTATGTAGTGCCAACAGCATTGCACCAGTGATCAGTAGATTCGCTGATGCTATGCAGGTCTCCTGCAGACTGTCGGTGTATCTGCTTGCTCACGTACATCCCATACGGGCAAGCCGATACTTCTGACAGGAAGACTCTATGAAGTAGATCACAGCGCAATGGTAGTTCATTGAGAAACTACAAGCCAAACAGCCGCTAAGGCTGTCAGTACTTGTAGTCCATTCATTCACAGAACTGTGAATGATGCGACCATGTGGGCGGAGCCCCATGCAGCTACGCTTTTTTTAAAAAGTGACAGCTAGTATGGGGGGAAATTTTGGGCGGGTTCAGGCTGCATGATCAGAAACTTGTTTACATGTTCCACCCCAAAAATGGGTGTTGTGTAACATGTTCCCAAAGGTGAACTTCTTTAACACCTTCCCGCCCAGCCTATATCCAGATTGATGGCCGGGCAGGACACTTGCCTTTGTGACTCCCTCCCCCTCCTTGGGCGTAATATGACGTCCTGTCAAAATGAGAGCTGCTCATGCGGGTTGTGCAGCGGCTGATGACATATCACTACACTGGCCCCGTTGCCAGTGTCATGTGACTGCTGTGACCAATCAATGGATGGCTTCCTGTCATGCCATCCATTCTATACAATTATGTTGTTAGCTGTGACTGGTCAAGGCAGTCACATGATACAGACAGGGCCAATCACCGCCCATCTGTATTATTGGTGATCAGCTTTGCCTAATCACAAAAGACTGAATGAATCCGTTTAATTCAGTAACAATGATTTGCAAATATCAATGAAATACATTGGTATTAGCAATCATAATGTGTTAAAAAAAAGAAAAAATCTTGATCACTTGCCCAGAGTAGTTCAATGTTACTATGGTAACATTGTATTGCTTTGGTCATAGTGTGCTGAAAAATAAATTAGTAAGAAAAAGAAAACCTAATAAAAAAATAAATACAAAATTCTATTATTATTTTTTACCAACAAAAAAATGTAGCAGAATACATTTGACCTAAATTTATGAAGAAATTTTATTTATATTTGCAAAATTGTATAACAAACAAAGAAAAAGCGCATGGTTTTTTGTTTTTTGTTTTTTGTTTTTTTTTTGCTTTCCTCAAAAGTTACAGGTGTTTTTGTTTAGCAAAAAATAAAAAGTAGTGGTGATTTAATTATTATTATACAGCATTTGTTAAAGCGCCAACAGTTTTCGCTCAGCGCTGTACATTATTAAATACCACCAAAAAGAGTAGCTCTATTTGTGTGAAAAAAATGCAAACAATTTCATATGGGGGGGGGTACAGTGTTGCATAACCGCACAAGTGTCAGTTCACAGTGCGAAAATTGGCCTGGGCAGGAAGGGTGGTATAAGTGCCGGTATTGAAGTGGTTAATCATGTATATCAAGATTAATGAAGGGCAACAAGTACCATCTATTATGACTGCAACACATGAAGAGCCAGGAATTGGGAAGAATTGCAGCTGCTCCAGCTGAATACACCATAATATATTGCTTTATGTGCTGGCTTTAAAATGACATGGTGGTCTGACAGTTCAGCATCTGATCTAGTGTTTGATACAGATCCAGCTGAAGTGAAAGTAGGTAAATTGCATAAGCGATCACAGTTGAATCACTCAGGAGGAGTGTACCAGACACTTCATGACTTGTTAATGAGTAGTTGATCTCTCTGCACACTTCCATTAGATTCTATCTGCATATGGCCTCAGACGAAGTCTGCAGTGATTGGTGGATGAAAGGCGTCAACATAGTGACTCTCCATCGCACCCGGACACGATGTCCATAGCGCCTTCACAAGTATGTGAACAAACAAGGCAGAATTTTGGAACCGCACGTGTTATGCCTAAAACACCTTTTACCACCTCCCGCCCACCATATAGTAAAATGAAGGACACAAGGCGGTTTCTCTCGTTCTGGGAGGACGTCCTCCCATTCTAACCGCGGCGATCAGCGGTGCGCTGTGTCCCTCGGACACAGCGGATCACCGATCCACGGAAAGAGCCGAAGATGTCGACTTGGTCATGTGATCAGCTGTCCAATCAGAGCTGATCACATGTAAACAGGGAAATGCCGGTTATCGGCATTTCTCTCCCCCACGAGCTGTCAAGCTGACAGAGGAGAGAGAGAGAGCCGGTAATCGGCATTCTTCGGAGGGGACGTACACAGATCATCAGAGCACTGATTATCCGTGTGCCCTGATGATCTGTGTAGCCCCTGCAGCGCCACCTGTCAGTGTCCATCAGTGCCAGCTCTCAGAGATCATCCATGCCACCAGCCAGTGCCTCATTTCAGTGCCCATCTAAACTGCCTTTCAGTGCCACCTATCAGTGCCAGTCAGTGCTGCCTATCAGTGCCACCTATGAGTACTGCCTTTCAGTGCCCATCAGTGATGCCGTCAATGCTCATCAGTGCCACCTACCAGTGCCTCCTCATCAGTGCCCATCAGTGTAGCCTCATTAGCACACATCAGTGAAGGAGAAAAAATCACTTATTTACCAAAATTTTTTAGAACAAAAACCAAGAAACTTTTTTTTTTTCAAAATTTTCAGTGGTTTTTGGTTTGTTTAGGAAAAAATAAACCCAGAGGTGATTAAATACCACCAAAATAAAGCTCTATCTGTCACAAAAAAATGATAAAAATGTCATATGGGTACTCCAGGGTTACTGGAATCTGTATACCCAATCCATATGATCATTCATGATAAAGGACATACCTCTGCAGCACCTATGATATTGATGACCATTTTGCCTCTTCACATCTATTTCATCTACAGCACTTTGTTGTTCTATCTCATATACTCCCAGTAAGGCTGATTATTCTCAGTGGCATTTGCTTGGGCACCCGTGTGGCTCTTGGCTGCTTTAATTGATGTTACTTACTGCCTGTTGATATCACAGTTTAAAATTTACTGTTGTGTGTTTTTATATGTTTGATTACCTTGCACAGTCTTACTTTATTGATCAAGGTTTGTAATAAAGGTTTTCCTATTAAGCTGCAATATACTACTCTGCTTGGGATTATTTAGAACCGCCTTTTTTCACAGCCTGTCTATGGCTGTTTTTTGTTTTGCATTTTGCTCCCACATCTTTATTTATGGTGAAATGGAGAGTCATTATGTAGGCTGACCTGCTTACCTGGGTGGCTGTATTTTCATTGCCCATAGGATGTACATACCTACAGAATGTTTTCCAGCTGGCCAGGTCCGTATACCGCCTGGACCTGACATTGCTCCTTCTGCTATAAGCTCATAGTCCTTTCACTGACCATGAGCTTGTAGAAAAACTGTTCAGTAGACTGCTGAAGAAACCAATAGCTCTGATTTAGCAGATGACAATCCGCTGATCAGAGCTGTTCTCAACAAAAGTGGAGTTACTTGTTAAATGCGGTGCTTCTAGTATACTAAAGTTAAAACTAGGTTTGTAGAAACACAGTGCTAGCAGTGGGGTAACCAGTTTCTAAATAGTACACATAATTTTCAAGTAAATCAAAATGGATGCAAAAATGAGTAGGGTTATTGGTGATCTGACAGATCTGCTGGCCCTCCTTCTGAATTAGAGATCAGTTTGCACATCTACCAAAGTCATCTCTTCAAATATCATAGTTGTGCTTTTTTTTATTTTACTCCAATCATTCCCCACCCCTCCACAGATGTAAACAAAGTAGGGGAATGCTAGTGACATTAGTGCCCTTGTATGGACATATGCCCATATTTAGTCAATATCTTTGGCAAAATAGTTGTTATTATGATAGGGGGTTTTAAGAAGCAAACTGGTTGCTAGAGACCTTGTTCCCAAATGACCAGCATACATCAATTCTTGGCATCATGAGCAGCTGGGAAAACAAGTTGATTGATATTATGCTGATGATAAATTCCTTAATCTGTACCTTCTTTAGTTGAAAAGTTCAATGATTTTGATTTTTAGGGGCAAAATATTTGTGGAGCTGCCATACACTGTGAAAGGAATGGACGTGTCTTTCTCTGGCATTCTTTCTTACATTGAGGTAAGGACATTTGCGATAACAAAATGGCATGGATAGGATAGGATTCCAACATAACATTTCTTTATTTAGTGAGATTTATATAATCTCTTATCAGTGCGTGATTTATTCATAGAACAAAAATGGTATCCTAAAAGAGTGTGTGATTTGGTCTTTTTGGAATGTGCCTTATGCATTTACAGCACATACATTACCGAATTTTCATGCATGATTATTTACAATGTTTTGTGTTTTTAGTAGGATTAACTAGGTACCTTGTATACAATTGGGTAGCCTATCAAAAATATTAATATCCAATAAATAGATGATATAGAAGTGGCCAGTATTTTCGTGTTCTAATGAAAGCACTGTTCAAGTTGGCTATCTGTGTACAGGTATAAGAACTTTCATATTCATGTTTTATGAACATCAGAAGATGCTTCTTATAGAAAAACTCACTTTTGTCTTAAGACTGAGCAAAATGTTAGCTGATGTCGTATCTGTGATGAAGTGATTTGAGATGTCCCACATACAAGTTATTACCAACCCCATGTCACAATCAAGGGTCAGGCTCAGAGACCAGAGGCTATAACATTAAAGGAACTTCCACCGACCTGCAGGCTAGGTATACAAGCAGGTCACCCTAGTGGATCACATGGGCCCACCTGAGGTGCGGAGTCTAAGCACTAACTGGTGTTCGCCAGAGCTCCTGATGGTGGAGATGAGTTTTAATGCATTTTAGTACCAGGTTGTGTTCCCCCAGAATCGCCCCATCAGGAGATGAGCAAGCTGTGGTCCAGTAGCGGATATAGCAGGTAAAGATCAAACAGAAGTGTAGTCCTAAAACAAGCCAGTGGTAGGCAACAAGTAATTGCAGGTTGGGATCAGGTAGAAGCATAGTCGAGGAACAAGCCAAAGGTCTGTAACGAGGGGCAGCAGAGAAGTCCAGAGCAAGATATTGGCTGGAGAGAGAGCACAATAATCTGGCAAACAGGAAGTGCAGATACATGGCTTGAATAAGGATATTCATGGGAGGAGCAAAGGGTTCAAGCTTCGAGACGAACAAGGTACAAGGCAAAATTATTCAAAGAATTGTCCAGGGAAATGTCCAGGTTGCTCAACAAGAAGATACATTGCCCTACACAAGAGGTTCTGAGTTCAGATCCAGGCCCTGACACCCCATATCTGTTCTTTAGATATCCATAGCAGCTGTAGTGGTCCTTATTGACAGAGATGTTCACTGTAAAGCAGCATGCAATCTCTCCCTAAATGTTGTGAGACACGGGAAATGCCATAAAAAGTAAAAGCTAGGTGCCCAATCAGTAACTTGTGCATTTACTTTGAGGCTCCCCAGAACCTAAGGGCACAACTTCCCGCATTGCTTTAAGTATTATTTATTTTATTTTACTTCACATGTTAAATTTCATCTGCTTAATGGGTTCACCGAGAAAGTGGTGGTTGCAGAGCTAAGAATCCCTATAGTGACTTTACTAGACATCCATCATCTATAAGAACACTCCTGGCTGTATTTATACTGCTGCCATTATTTGAGCTTGTTTTTCCATTTACATTATAGGACATGGCTCACAAAATGTTGTCTTTAGGAGATTGTACCCCAGAGGACCTCTGTTTCTCTTTACAGGTTTGCAAGATACACATGATAATTATATGTTATTTCATTACATGTGAAAAATGAATATGTCTCCGGTTTACTATATCCCAATATCACAGGGATTTCCCTCCTTTCTTCTTTCTCTCTTTCTTTTTTCTTTCTCTTTCTTTCTCTTTCTTTCTTTTTTTTTTCTCTTTCTTTTCTTTCTTTCTTTTCTTTCTTTCTTTTCTTTCTTTACTTTCTTTTCTTTCTTTCTTCTTTTCTTTTTTCTTTCTTTTTTTTTTTTTTCTCTTTCTTTTTTCTTTCTCTTTCTCTTTCTCTTTCTTTCTTTTTTTTCTTTCTCTTTCTTTCTTTTTTCTTTCTTTCTTTTTTCTTTCTCTTTCTCTTTTCTTTCTCTTTTTCTTTCTTTTCTCTTTCTTTTCTTTCTTTTTTCTTTCTCTTTTTCTTTCTCTTTTCTTTTCTTTCTCTTTCTTTTTTTCTTTCTCTTTCTTTTCTCCTTTTCTTTCTCCTTTCTCTTTCTCTCCTTTCTCTTTCTCCTTTCTCTTTCTCTCTTTCTCCTTTCTCTCTTTCCTCTTTCTCTCTTTCTCCTTTCTCTCTTTCTCTTTTTCTCTTTCTCTTTTTCTCTCTCTTTCTCTCTCTTCTTTCTCTTTCTCTTTCCTTCTCTCTCTTTCTCCTTCTCTTCTTCTCCTTCTCTCTTTCTCTTCTCTCTCTCTTCTCTTTCTCTCTCTTTCTCTTTCTTTCTTTCTTTCTCTCTCTTTCTTTCTTTTTTCTTCTTTTCTTCTTTCTTTCTCTTTCTCTCTCTTTCTTTCTTTTTCTCTTTCTTTCTCTTTTTCTCTTTCTCTCTCTTTCTCTCTTTTTTCTCTTTCTCTCTTTCTCTTTTTCTTTCTTTCTCTCTTTCTCTCTCTTTCTCTTTTTCTTTCTTTCTCTTTTTCTTTTCTTTCTTTTTTGATTCTCTCTCTTTCCCCCCCCCATCTCTCCCCCTCTCTCTCCCCTTCCCCCCTCTCTCCCCCTCTCCCCCTCTCTCCCCCTTCCCCCTCTCTCTCCCCCTTCCCCCCTCTCCCCTCCCCCCCTCTCTCTCTCCCCCCCTCTCTCCCCTCTCTCTCCCCCCTCCCCCCTCTCTCTCCCTCCTTCTCCCTCCCTCTCTCTCCCCCTTCCCCCCTCTCCCCATCCCCTCTCTCTCCCCCTCTCCTCCCTCCCTCCCTCTCTCCCTCTCCCTCCCCCCTCCCTCCCCCCTCCCTCTCTCCTCCCCCCTCTCTCTCTCCCCCCTCCCTCCCCCTCCCTCCCTCTCTCTCTCTCCCCCCCTCCCTCTCTCCCTCTCCTCTCTCCCCCCCCCTCCCCTCTCTCCCCCCCTCCCCCCCTCTCTCTCCCCCCTCCTCCCTCTCTCTCTCCCCCCTCCTCCCCCCTCTCTCTCCCCCCTCCTCCCTCCTCTCTCTCCCCCCTCTCTCCCCCCCTCTCTCTCCCCCCTCTCTCTCCCCCTCCTCCTCCCTCCTCTCTCTCCCCCCCTCCTCCCTCCTCTCTCTCCCCCTCCTCCTCCCCCCCCTCTCTCTCTCCCCCTCCTCACCCCCCCCTCTCTCTCTCTCTCTCTCTCTCTCCCCTCTCTCTCTCTCTCTCTCTCTCTCTCCTTCTCCTTCTCTCCCCCTCCCCCCCCTCCCCCCCCCATCTCTCTCCCCTCTCTCCCCCCTCTCTCCCCCCTCTCCCCCCCTCTCTCTCCCCTCCCTCTCCCTCTCTCTCCTCCCCTCTCCTCCCCTCTCTCCCCCTCTCCTCTCCCCCTCTCTCTCTCCCCCCTCTCTCCTCTCTCTCTCTCTCTCCCCTCTCCCCTCCTCTCTCTCTCTCCCTCCTCCCCCTCTCTCTCTCTCTCTCCCCCCTCTCTCCTCTCCTCCCCCCTCTCTCTCTCTCTCCCCTCCCCTCCCTCTCCTCCTCTCCTCTCTCTCTCCCCCCCTCCCCCCCCTCCTCCTCCTCTCCCCTCTCCCCCTCTCCCCCCCCTCTCCCCCCCCCCCCCCCCCCCTCTCTCTCTCTCTCCCCCTCCCCCCCCCCCTCTCTCCCCCTCCCCCCCTCTCTCCCTCATAGATATTTTTAGACACCTTGGCTAACTTGAATCCCAAGATTTTAGTGACTGTAGTTTTAAGCAAATAAAACTGCTGAGATGCTTACATTTCTCACTGTGTTGTATGTGATTTCCACATCTTTCCTATACCCAACTGTAAGCAGCTCTCCAATTCTTAACACCTGTGTTGCTTAGATTAAATTTACTAAGCTTTTCCATTCTGACAGGAGACTTTGTTTGCTATGCTTGTGGAGATCACAGAACGGGCTATGGCTCATTGCGGCTCACAAGAAGTACTAATAGTTGGTGGAGTTGGATGTAAGTGGCATACTGACTTGAATATTTTGAAGACTTGTTTAAGAAAATTGTGAACTACATACCAGCTGTTGAGTAACCAGAAATCAGTGGTGTAAAAAACGTTCAATATTTTCCTCTTGACATAGAAAATAACTGCTCCATTTGAAATGTATACAGAAAGAAAGCATGCTTACTTTCTGTATAGATTCTGTAAGCACTGTGTACATTTAATCAGGGTAACAAATGAAATAAAAAAAGAAACTACTGCAAGGGTAGATTTTGACTAATTCCTGGAGTTAGGCTGTAAAGTATTCCTGTCGTAAATTTTGAGACTGAATAGCTCCACAATTTCTGCAGCTAGGTCAGTGAGGGCTCATGTTAAATCTCAATATCTGGTTGTTTGGAATTTGTAAAAAAAAAAAAATCCTGTAAAAAAGGAATTTCCATAGCCTGGCAAAAGTTTTATACTTTAAGATATTTTGCAAATTCACCAAATGGTTGGAAACACCTAAAGTTCATTTGCATTTCAGTGGTGTTTCCCTAGAATGACTGTTCAGTAAACTACTAATTAAGTGCTGCGCTTCACATCAATTCTGCATTAAAACTGGGATACATGCAAGTGCACTACAAATTAATAAATCTCAATATTCTTATATAATCACTCTTGTGAAATCAACATCTATCCATAAAATAAAAAAATCGGTACAAAATTTAGTCCCAATATTGGGATATTGCGACAAAATTTTGGACAGATTTTTTTTTTTTTTTTAATTATTTTTTTTGGATAGATGTAGATTGCACAAGAGTGATTTATATAAGAATATTGAGATTTATTAATTTGTAGTACAACTGCATGTACGTATTTCAGTTTTAATGTATAATTGATGTGAAGCGCAGCATTAGTAGTATGCTGAAGTGATGTTAAAACACATTATGGGACTGAATAGTGTGAGTGATTCAAATAATAGCAGCATAATAATGTTTTGTATATATTCTTTGAATGACTGTTGCTTCTCAACCCCCCCCCCCCCCCCCCCCCCCCCCTGCTGGGGAGAAAGCTAAGTGGTGCACTAGCTGCATAGAGAAGGTCCAGTAGCAGAATCCCTTCTTGGGGTTCCAGGGTTTTTCAAACATTTAACTGTAAGCGTTTCAGTTAAGTTTAACTGCACTACTATTTATTTCAATTTGGTTGTACTCTTTAACTTCACTACTATTTAATCTACTCTATGCTAGGTGTTTTATGTGTGTGATATATATAGTTAACGTGTTACTAAAACCACAACAGTAAAATCAGTCTGTATATGCAGTAAAGCATGCATGTTATACTCACTGTGGAACCTAAGGGGGATATTCCTCTGCATTGTGTAAAAATGCTGTTTTGATTCTGACTTCTCTGATCCTCTCCTTTTCCAGTGCTCCCCTCTTATCTTTTGATAAGACATACATATATATTGTGTGGAGACACTGCACATGCTCAGTTTGGTGTGTATTGCTAGACACGTGTTTTTGTTTTTTTTTTTCTCTTGGGAGAGTGCATGTGATGAGCACAGGGCCAATCAGCAGTGTTCAGACAGAGGTCAGGGGGTCTGCATCCTAGAGCAGGAAGAAAACTCCTACAAGCTTTAACCAGTGCTCTGCTGAACACTGATAGAATTCACAAGACTGCTCTAACTGCTGATGAAAAAAGGTATTTAGCAGTTTATATTTACTAAAATAATTGCATTTCCATGTTGTATGTAATGTGGGAGACCAGATATAGTGAATGCAGAGTCCTGGGCTTAGTAACACTTTAAATATAATTTCATTTTACTAGTTTTATTTGAGAAGGCAGTTTCTTATAAGAATTCAATCCAACAATAATAACGCAGGTATAGACAACCATTGTCAGACGGCATATCTACCATATTCCAGAGCTTCCTCATTCAACACTGTTTGCAGCAATTGCTTAAAGTGATACTAATGTCTTTGTTAATAAAAAAAAAAAAAACAAACATTTTTATACTTACCTGCTGTTTGCAGTGGTTTTGCACTGAGCAGCCTGGATCCCCCTCTTCTCGGGTCCCCCACTGGCGCTCTTGGCTCCTCCTCTCCTGTCGGGTGTCCTCAAAGCAAATAGGTTGCTAAGGGGGCACCGGGGAAGGCATGCTCCCGAGCCGCGGCTCTGCGTGGCCATTCACACACAGAGCTGCGGCTTGGGCGCCCCCCACCCTCTCATGATCTGGCTGTGATTGACAGCAGCCTTAGTCCGGCGCGAGAGTCCCCGGAGAACCGAGGCCTCTCGTGGACATCGCTGAATCGAGAGGGGGCTCAGGTATTTTTTGGGTGGGGGGGGTTGGGTGCTGCTACACACAGGTGTTTGTTTTTTTTTTGTTTTGTTTTTTTTTTTTTACCTTCATGCATAGAATGCATGAAGGTAAAAAAAACCTTCAGCTTTTACAACCACTTTTAGCAGCAAACCCAAAACAGCCCCTGTTTACTTTAACGTTTAACCACTTGAAGACCAGGCCTTTTCTGACACGTTTTGTTTAAATGTAAAAATCTGTATTTTTTGCTAGAAAATGACTTCAAACCCCCCAAACATTATATGCATTTAAAGCAGAGGCCCTAGAGAATAAAATGGTGGGCGTTGCAATTTTTTTATGACAGAGTATTTGCGCAGCGGTTTTTCAAACGCATTTTGTTTTTAAATATACAGTTGTTTGGTAAAATATAAAGGATGTTATGATGAGTAAACCGATACCAAATATGTCACGATTTTCATTACGTACATGTGTTATCTATAGATGCTTTAAAAGTGTTTACAGGTTATCAGTTTAGTTTTACACAGAAGTACTGGTGCTAGAATTTTTGCTCTCGGTCTGGTGTTCGCAGTGATACATGTGTGGTGTGATCGTGTTTTACATTGCAGCAAGGGACCAACCAACGTGTGCATATGCCTTTGTATGAGAGTATGGGGAGATGGGTGTGCTTTAATTTTTTTTTTTTATTATTTATTTTTTACACTTTTTTTTTTTTTATCAACTTTATTGCTATACATCCCTTGTGATCGCATGGGCATTGACAGGTACTTTTTTCCTGAGAGATCTATTAGACCCCAGATCTCTCTTCTGCCTTTTAAAAGCTTTGGATTACATCGAGATCAGTATGATCAGATGCTTTTTTCAAACTATTAATGGTTTGTTTATAACTGGTGAAATACTCATCACTTCCAGTTTCCTAGACCATAGAAATGATCGGTGCCATTTCGGTCCCTGATCAGTTAAATGGTCAGCCAACAGAACCGCTTGCTGCAGTCCTGGGTTCCACAGTGGGATGGGGGAGTGGGGGCCCCCCTTCCGCCACTTGTAAAAGCAATCCAGCAGCTATTTCGCTGCTATTATAGCTTTTACAATAAAGTGCTCCACCAGTTCTAAAAGACCGTATCGGCTGCGGGCATCAGCTCTGGTATAACAACTGAAACTCCCGCAACATACGAGTCAAACTCTAAATTTAATTTTGCAAATATTATTATTTTTCTACATTCAGGTAATGTTCGCTTGCAGGAGATGATGGAAGTTATGTGCAAGGAACGAGGTGCCAAATTGTTTGCAACAGATGAAAGGTTAGTATTGGCCACTATCCTGATTTATTAGGCCTCATTCATGTAGACGCATGCAGAGAGCTGTTTTCACTCAGCACAAATGGTCCACGCAGCCAGACATTAAGATACAGGTGTGCAGTTTCAAGGATCTTTGCATGCATTTTTTAGTGTATATCCATGCAGGACCAATACTTTGATTAGAATGCAGTCTGTCTATCTGCTTGGGAAGCACAGGCACAAACCTAGTTCACTGCATGGTGTATGGGTTTGTGTGTCCCATGTGAATGAGGCCCCAGAGTATGAATTAATTCATTGTTAGCGTTTGATTCTCTTTCTCTTCTTCAGTCATGCATTGACTTGAATGTAAAACCATTTCATTGTTCTCCAATATATGTGTGTCTCTGTACTTTTAAGATTCTGCATAGATAATGGTGCTATGATTGCCCAAGCTGGATGGGAAATGTTTCGCTCTGGTCACATCACACTGCTGCAAGACTCCTGGATAACTCAAAGGTTAGCTTCTTCTATCAATGCTATGCTCTCGTTAGATTGGTTTAATTTTGTCACCTATATAGAATGTAAGACTAGTGATTTGTGGTTTTGATTTAATTGTATTTGCTATCCTCTCCACAGGTTCAGAACAGATGAGGTGGAGGTTACATGGAGAGACTGAAACCAGAGAAATTCTAAAAAGATACTGGAATAGTGTATTTAATATTTCAGTTTTACGTTTTATTGGCCAGTTAAAACCTGAAGTCTAACAGAGGGCAGATCAATGGATCAGGCAATGATGCGAAAGATACATTTCTGTTTGTGTATGCGATCTGCTGCCTTAAAGTGCCTGTTACGGAGTACCCCTAGATCCTGTGAGTTCTGCCATTTGTGTCCGGTCTGTAGGGATCTATAGGGAACTCACAACAGGTAGAAGTGCCCAGAATGTCAACTTCAGATTAAAGCATCAGGATACAAAGAAAACTGCAGTTAAAGAAAATATGCTGGCTACCATTTCTGATTTTCTATGAAAGCTGGATGCCTTGCTGTAATGTTGACAGACTAAATTTAAGTACTTTGAGCCATCAATATACAACAAGAGTGCAAATCAAGACTTCACTCAACACTCCTTTAGTCAACATTAGTGACTCAAATAGTGCAATTAAAGGATTGCGGTGGCACACTATACTTCTGATGGCAGCTTTTTAAGTTCTGTTGAATGTTCTCCGATTATGCAGCAAGACCTTGCAGGAACCTTGGTAACCAATTAGAAATATTCTAACTAAGCTTAGCTTAGATGTTCTCCTTTTTAGTAAATTTTGGACTCTTTCTCTTTGCTCTCCCTTACTGAAGAAGCTTAAATTTGTCTCTGTTACCGCTTTAATAGAAGAATCCAGTTTTGCTAAACATTGTCATGACTTATAAAACTGCTACTAGTCATTTTGCAATCAAAATGTAAAGGGAAAAAAAAATAGCTTTTCTCTTTAACCACTTGCCCTCCAGAGGATTTATCCCCCTTCCTGACCAGGCCGTTTTTTGCGATACGGCGCTGCGTTATTTTAACTGACAATTGCGTGGTCATGCAATACTGTACCTAAATGAAATATATGTCCTTTTTTTCCCACAAATAGAACTTTCTTTCGGTGGTATTTGGTCACCTGTGCGTTATTTTTATTTTTGTACTATAAACAAAACACCCGACAATTTTGAAAAAAACAAAAATAATATTTTTGACTTTTTGCTATAAAACCTATCCAGTAAAAAAAAAATTTAAAAATCAAATTTTATCGTAAATTTCGGCCAAAATGTATTCTGCCATGTCTTTGCTAAAGAAAAAAAAAAAAATCCCAATACCTGTAAATTAATTGGTTTATAGTGTCTACAAATGGCAGTGTGTATATATAGTGGAATTTTTTTTTTTTTTTTTTTTTTTTTTTCTTTTACACTAGTAATGGTGGCAATCAGCAACTTATAGTGGGACTGCTGCGGGCATTCTGACACTGGGTGGGAACGGACTGTCACTGACATCCCAATGACACTAATACAGTGATCAGTGCTAATAAAAAGCACTGATACTGTATTAATAGCACTGGGCAGGAAGGGGTTAATAGCTGGGGCAATCAAAGGGTTAGCTGTGTACTGTGTTATTGTGTGTGCTGTGTGTGTTTTACTAGGGAAACATGCCGCTGTGCAGAGAAATACACAGCAGCATGTTACTGCTGGCAGCAGCGAGACCTGTATTGTTTACACAGAGGTCTCTCCCCTGTCACTGTTTCTTGGCAATTGCTGGGTGATGGCGGGGAATTTTTGGCTGGGACCCAGTGATCGATTATCTGTAGCCGCCAATGGTGATGCAGGTAGGTGGTGCGCTCACCCGCCCCTACCCGTAAATTAATATATATACATGATTTTGCGCAGCCCTGCCTCCCTGTAGCAGTATTTCTGCTATAGGGCAGTGGGGAAGCGGTTAATATACAGCCAGATATACTTTGTAAGTGCATCAACAGTATTTTGAGCTCCAGTTATAGGCCGCCTAAAGTGTGCATCCACACCAACACCCTTAGGCCTATGTCATACTGGCAGCAATTCACCAGGAATAAAATTGCTGAGAGAGCAAAAAGCACTCACCTGCTTCCATGACTTCACTTGCTTGCTGGTGGAAGCAGTGTGTTGTCACTTCTTCATTGCTACAGAACTAGTTTTTCCAGTATTTTGGCCAGAGACAAAACACAACAGAAACAGTGCTCCCTTCAGTAGACCTTGTCACAAGCTCAATCGTTTAGAAAATAGTTTTTGAAATGAGTATGTACATTTTAACATCTCGTAGGCATATTTTTTTTGCATGCAACAGCTTTCCTTGTGTAGAACTTCTAAAGCCCTTATACTTCTGCAGGGCCCTGCCATCTTAGATGTGATTTTAGAAAGCCCCAACAGACTTGGAGTCATAGACGGTATTTTTCTTCACCCCCTTTCCCTCCTGGGTGTTACATAACTTATACAGAGAGATATGAGGGGGGCAGGAGAGCTAGGCCAAAACAGACATTTCAAAAAGAGGAGAGGGTTATGATTTGCAAAGAAGGAAGGGGCTGTTCTAGAGAACTGATTCTTCAGGAAGTAATCAAGTTTTCTAGAAAATTCAGAGGCAAATTGCAAATCATTAGGAAGAAAAGTTTATAGAAAGGAAACATGCTGCAAGTAAGCTTTCTAAATATTTTTGTGTTTTTTTTTTTTTTTTTTTTTTTTTTTCTGTGCTTGACCTAGAATTTTTTTTAAGTCAATGACAGGGTCTATTTAAGCCATGTTGTTGCTGGTGAGTTGCTTCAAGAGAAAGGGATCACTAGTGTCACATGGGTCTTAGGTTTGCTGTTGATCTTGCTTTACAAACTTGTAAATCTGTGGTGTTTCTTTTCCCTATTTTGGGAATAGTATTTTAGTAAGAGTGAAGGTATCAGGCTTCACTGGATATATCCTTCCCACTATTTACAAAAATTAAGTTAATAAGCCCCTGCAACAAAATTTGCCATTCTACTTGCAAATGGGATTGTTTTTATCCTGAACAAAATTGGAAGCTTTTTAAATTAAAAAAAAAAATGTATATATATTTTTCTCCTCAAGTCACTACTCTTAAGACTCAAAGTGCTGTAAATGCAGGTTAACCTATACTGTAAAGAATAAAACCTCATTGAATAAAGTTTGTTTAAATCACAATAATAAATCTTTTAGTAAATTTTAGTCAGTCCGTACATTTTTAGACTGGATATTGCTGACAGAACCCTCCCAATAATTCTATATCCTGTGCACACTATGGCATTGCAGTGTGCCTGCACTATAAAAATGTATGCAGGAGTAAAGATTTCCTAATTTTACTGAATACTTGGTTTTTGCAGACCAGTAAGTAACTAGCAAGCAAAGTCAGATTCAGGATTGCAGGTCAACTGTGGCCACATGCATATTTTTATCCACACGGTTTGCTTTAAATTTGAATCCAGTTACTTCTTGCAGTAGCACTCTTCAGCTATTTGGTGTCACACTGGCCAGAGGTAAACTTCAAAGATTTTTTGGCCCTTCAGTAAGAAAATGTCACTGGCTGGGAGGAGGGGCAATAAATCAACCTATAATTAAAGTTTTTATTTATATATATATATATATATATATATATATATATATATATATATATATATAATGTGCATATATATATATAAATATATATAATATGTCATAGTGTAAAATCCAGTGTCTGCCGATCTTTCTGGAGGGATCGGGCAGTCAAACTGAATTGTTTTTCTCACAATCCTGCGAGCTGTTCTGTCTGACCACTGCAACCCACTGTTCTGATGACTTATCTCAATAACAGAGGATATGGCATCTGAAAACGTGGGTAGGGTATATTAGTTTCAGTTTTCAGAGCTAAGAACCCATGGTGCAGAGCAAGCTCAATGAGTCTGGGTATTTAAAACTCTTCGACATCACCTGATCTTCCCAGACGATGATTGAGAACAATCCATGACACTGGCAGGTCTCAGCTTTGCAAAGGGGGCAGTGCATGCTATAAATTCTGCAGGGTGCCCAAACTTTTGCAGACGCCATTTTTTTTGTTTTCTGTTATTTTGAAAGTGTAAATGATGGAAATAAAAACTTTTGTTTGAATTTAGTGCCTTTTGGAGATTTTTCCATCTTAATACAAATTTTTAGCTGGGGTGCCCAAACTTTCGATCCCCACTGTGTGTGTGTGTGTGTGTGATGTGTGTGTGTGTGTATATATATATATATATATATATATATATATATTAATATATATATAAAAATCTCCGATCAGCCTTAACCTGATGACCACTGACAACCCTGATGTTCCCAGTCTACAGTGGTCAGGAGCTACTAATAGTGGTTAAGGGCTACTGTAACTCAAATCCTGAAAAAGTTAATGCTGGTTCTGCTAGAAGGGTGTTAAACCACACAGTGCAGTGCAGTCTGTTGTGTATGGGGCTGTGTAGCTGCAGATCGGTTAGGGTGCCCATGCTGACCCGTGTTCACAGCCAAAAGCACCTACAATAGGCACATGAGCAACAGAACTGGAACAGACAAGCAATGGAAGAAGATGTACTGGGATAATGAATTCAAGACAGGTTTAAAGGATAAGTTCACCTTTACAGGTAAAAAAAAATGCATTTATTATTTTTATCCAAAAGAGCCTGGAAAGCATTGCACCAGCTATCAGTAAATCACCAATGCCATGCAGGTCTCCTGCAGACCTGTCAGAATATGTGTTTGCTGTACAGGGATGTACAAACAAGCAGATATTCTGATAGGAAGCTTCAATGAACTACAACCCCACAGCCACTAAGACTGTCAGGACTTGCAGTTCACTAATTCAGGGATGTCTGTCCGTGAATGAATGATGCGGCTGTGTGGGGTGGCCCTCCGCACGACCGTGCTGTTTTCAAATCTGACAGAACGGGGAAACCTCTCCCCGTATTATCTGTCGGGGAGGGGGCGTCAGGCGCGGCTGCAGCATTGGGAACATGTTACATGTGCCACCCTAAAAACGGGTGGCACATGTAACATATTCCCAAAGGTGATCTTATCCTTTAAGGGACATAACAATTTTGAGATGTTGACTCCATTTCTCCAGTCCAATCAACCATCTGTGGGATGTTTGTTACGGACGTGACAATTTCATAGCAA